TATATATATATATATATATATATATATATATATATATATAGAGAGAGAGAGAGAGAGAGAGAGAGAGTATGCTTCCTAGATACAAGACATATACTTTTCTCAAGTATTAAAGTTTTGGACAATTAACATAAAAACTATATACTTTCAGGATACCAGTGTGTTACTCTAGATATCTCTTAAGAGGACCTTTTTCCATGAGTGTTGACGCTTTAATTGTAGAGTGGACAGATAAATATTAGAAATTTGTTTTATCATTTGTATCAAGGTTCACAATTTCGTGTAGCTGTAGCGTATGGATCTGAACCTAGTGTACCAGTCAAAACTAAGACCAGTATTATACCAGTCCATACCAGTTTACCAATTGGCAGTACACCAGAATGTATCGAGTTTTAGGAGAAAAATCCTGAAAAGAGATGAAAAAACAAAAGACAAAAAACTACCTAGTACAAGACTTATGTTACTAAGAAATACTCCTTCACAATGAATAGATTAAAATGCTAATCAATTACTTATTATCATTTATCATTATATCTAATTGTATATTCTAATACTAAAATTTGACTGCCGAGCTTTGTTAAAAACAATCCCAATTGTGATACATGTGTCATTTTGTATTCTATTTTTTCGAAAGATATGATGTATCAACATATTTGCCCTGTCCCGTACTAGTATCCTGTATCTCTAATAGAATTTCATAGCTTTAAATAGTGATGAAATCCAAAAAAGACTTCTTGAACCAACACAGAAGCTTTGGTGGTTGCATATATACTTCAATTTCACATATGTCAATTACAAAGACCAAGCATTACCTTATCCAGCAAGACACAGCAATCACTAATCATGTAACGACTTGGGAGATTATCTGTTGCATCAACAACAATGTCATATCTTTAACAATATCAGTAGTCTTGGAAAACAAAATAGTTTAGCTGCATTAGCAAGAAACACTACAAATAAATGATGTCCTGAAAATCTACGGACTTTATTAAGGATACTTGCTGACTATATCCAAAGCATTCACTGCCTGCAAAGCTTCTCGATGTTCAACCAACTTGACAGAAGAATTAATTCTGGAACCAAACAATTACATCAGATAAAAGTCCTGTCATATAATTCAAGAAAGAAAACAACCAAATAAGCAATCTTTCTTATACTCATTCAAAGCAAAAAAGCATATCTACATACGCATGACAAGAAAAAGCTGCTGATTTCACTTTTGATTGCCCAACATATGCTTCTGTGTGGATAATCTGAATCAGTGTCAGGAAGAATGAGAAAATTTTCAGTCACTAAAGTAAGAAGCCAGCCATAAAGAGAACCGGTATAGAATAAATTGTGTTGGAACTTGGAAGTTTTATCATAAAGACCTCAGCAAGGTAAAACGACATTTTTTGGCTGTTAGAGATGAAGGTTGTATTATATGGGTAAAATTTAGGTTTCATGTTTTCTTTAATTATGCAATTGGTAAAGTCAAAAACTTCTAGAGAGAAGAGATGTCAAACATGATGCAGGAATTCATATTACTAAGAAAATTATTACAATTGTTAATTTAGCACCGAAAGAAAATTAAATTTCCACTTTCTCATCATTTTATTACACATCAAAACTAAATACCATGTTAGAACTTAGAACATCCAACTAAATACTTTGTTTAACAAAAACTATGCTTTTTTCCCTTTAAGATAAAGAATAAATGCAACAACATTATGAGATAGTTGATTCTAAGCCATCCTTGCTCAAACTATCTATATATCACATATGAATAAAATTTACAAGAAGCACAAGTTTGTCAACCTATCCATTAACTCTAAATTTTACACATCTTGCAAATGGTCAAAATCCAAATAGTATTTCCATAATCCATTATATAAGAGAGAGAAAGGAGATACTAGGAAGAACAGATAAAAGGAGAAAGAAAAAACCAATTTGCATACCTGTCGATGTAGGTTGTTTAGCTCAACAATGTCACTGTCCACAATGCCTAAGCAACCTACAAAAAGAATAACAGAGTCTAAGGATGAAACATAAGCCATAATAGTTAAATACGTGACTTACTTGAAAAGCCACATAGAAGTCCATACAAATTTAGAGGCAATATGTAGCCAATAAAAAAGAAGAATAATCATGGTATGCTAACTATTGTTTTATAAATACCTTATGCAGATCCAAAATTACATGCAATCAGAAGGAGATACATAAAGTTGTAAATTTAGGTGAAGCGAACTTCAAGCGTAGACAGTGAAAAATAATACCAACACCACATGCAGCAAGGTACATAGCTACAGGTGATCCTAAACCTCCAGCTCCAACCACCAATATCGAAGACTTTGAGAGTTTCAATTGCCCTGCATAATACCGATTGACAATGGTCACTACATCTTACTTGATGCCAAAGTATGCTAATAATTATAAAACTACCAAGAGCAACAACGATGACTAAATATAAAATAAAGAAAAACCATAAATTAAGGGGTAGAATTGGCCTCGAATTGTCCTTTCCTAGAACTAACTCAGATTTGGGACATATTAATATACACCGGAAAACATATAAACATAATAAGATGCCTAAACTAAAAATTTACTTGCATACGAGTCAACATAGAATGTATATGTTTAACAAAATTAAATACATAAAATGACATATCTGAGTTTGAACTTTGGCAAACTATATTAATGGCTTGTTATCATGTATAATATTATTGGAATCAGAATAAAAACATGACTTACAAACAAGAAAGGGAAGCACATCATGAGGTTCTTGCTATATGCAGTCCAGAAGCAAACAACTTTTTTGAATGTGACAATTGACTAATAAGAGTACCAGATGCAGCAGATAGAAACCAATAATATTATCTCTTACCAAATGAAACAGCAAAGCCTCTTAACTACCAACCAATACCAGTACCCCTAATAATTATCAGCATAAATTAGTACCATCCGGTTCAGTACACTTATTAGATACAACATCTGAATTGCACCAGCTCCACATCACAGAAGTACAAGCAACAAGGTACAAGATATATACACTCGCATCAAACAAAGTACTCAAGATTCAAGAATGAGGTAAAGTTCAGCAGAAAACAATCAAGCATCTCTTTCACTAGTTCTTCCAAACAATAAAGAGCTGCAATATGCCTCCTGACAAAGAACTTTTCTGAAAATGTAGCCTTCTGCATTAAAACGTAATAAGAAGGTTGCAAATTTCCACTGTGGCTTTGTCCACTGCAGAGTCCAGTAAATTCCAAACAAAAATTGCATCTAATGTATGGAAAAGCCTCCCTAGCATAGATTTCTAACGAAGCTGCTAATTTTGAAAAACTTATAATGGCATTCTATCCAGATAATATTAAAGCCATAGACAACAGTTCTTCCTTATTAGAACTCGCAAGTCTTTTGACATTATAATTGACGTAAACCACCTTGCTACTCGTAATTCATGACTGGATCTGTTAAACTGACTGGACGACAACAGCTGACTGCGAACACTTATTGTGGTTGAACAACTAAAGAATAAATTCAGCATATTTTTTTTCTCCTTATTAAGGAAGACAAAGACTAAATGTTGCATTACGTATTTCCTTACCAATAAATCCTGTGACAGAAACCAACATTGGTTTGACAATATAATATATTTCTCTTTATAATATCTTTGAGATAATAAATTAACTCTAAATGAGAAAGAAAAGACCTTACCATTACTGCTAGAGAACAGTGGGCACGTGCACGAGTTATTTGACAATAATCCCGTACTTGGGGAAACTACTTAAGTGTACTTGAACTGCAAAATCCCTTAATAGGCAATGCCTTTGACATGGCATCAATTATATAACAGAAGGTTGCTACTGTTGGCAGATTCACATCAACAATATTTTCAAAGATTACCATCTGACAATAGAGAACTTTCCAATTTTCATATGATGCAAATAAACGAAAGCAATTGTGTTGAAGAAGCTGTTAAAAGGTATGAAGGAACTTCCACAAAACTAACATATCAATTAAAGCAAAGAATTGAGGAATATAATTCTAAGGCAACAAATGGAGAATGTGATCAAAAAGAGAGCTTGGCATGGAAGAAAGAATTAAACCAAATGACCGACGAACCTTCGACTCCGAAATCAGGAAGCAAGAGGTGGCGACTATATCTGTGGATCATCTCCGGGCTCAAGCCGCTAATGGTAGCGCCATTCATCTGAGAGCATGAAAGCGAGCTCAAACTGCAACTGCCGCTCTTGTCCTTCTCCGCGGCACCCCGAGGCTTGATTTGCGCCTCAAGGAGATGAATTCGGCTCTCGAGCTCCTCTTTCTCCGACCTCAGCCTCTCGATCTCGCGGAGGAGGTCCGCACCGGACGACCCGCTGCCGATTTCTTTCGAGTCCATCCCCAAGACTTGCTGGAGAGCGTTCCACGGGGGAGTAAGAAACGGCGGTGGAAACGGGGAAGGTGGTCTTTTGCGTTCCAATTCAAGAAGGGTTACGACTTCGATTCGGTTCCCTCTAAAATATCCATATAAGGTTGGGCCTTATGGTTCCGGGCCGAAGCAGCCATGCAAAAGTTTGACAGGAGACGTGGGTTCTCAGAAACCTGACGCGTGGATCTCGCCTGTGAGAATGCTTCCGTGGTCCTACATGATCGAGATGCCACATCACCCCTGAAAGATATTGATACTAATGTCTGATTCGTGACCGTGGATCAAGGTTGACCTGATTTTGACCGTGATTGACCCTTGCGTTCACTCATTCGACAAATACACTCATAATTCTCTTATTTGAAGCAAAATTAATTATTTCGAAAAATTAAATTATATATATTCTTTCATAAGCCATAAAAAGGCCATAACGGGGAAATGGGGAGCCCAAATATAAGCCCATACACAAACTGCATCCTCCCTCTGTTCCGTCTCACCCTCACTACTATATACTGAGAGGGAAGGGGGGAGTGGGGGAGCGAGGGAGACACGGATGGCCGCCGGCAGCGGGAAGCAGCGGTGGGCCGGCGCCGTGAAGCAGGTCACGAAGTCCAACTTCGCCGCCGCCCTACAGCAGCTCAGGACCGACGTGGACAGCGCCGACTTCGTCGCCATCTCCTGCCGCAAGACCGGCGACTCCGTCGCCTCCTCCCGCCGCCACCCGTGGCACCGCGTCCTCCCCATCGACACCCCCGAGGTCGCCTACCTCAAGGCCAGGCTTGCGGCCGAGTCGTACGAGATCCTCCAGTTTGCCGTCTGCCCCTTCCGCCTCCGAGGTTACAAAGTCCTCGCTTACCCGTATGTGCTCTCTTCCCATTCCAAATTTTGGATTCCGGAATAGTTATCGTTCCTTTCGGGTCTTATCTTCGTAATATAACATTTGTTTCACATCAGAATTTTTTGATGTTATGTTGTGCTTGATTATCGGATAGGGATGTGGGCGAAAGATGACTCATTTCTTTTAGTCCTTAGTTAGGAGAGCATTAGTTTCCTATCCCTTTCTTTTTCTTTTGTTTGTTTTAATGTTATGGGCTGGTATTAACTGTAATTGCTCAAAAGGAACAAGTTAATTGATCTTTCTTTTTTTTTTTCTGCTTTGCGTGGCTTTCGATTCAATTTACATCAGCATTGGATAGCGTATGGTAGCCTTTGTAATGCTGTAGGAAATAATGAGCGAAGATGATCTAAATATTGATTATTTAAGAATATAAATATGTAGATCATGTCTTATCTAGTGGCTTAAGCTTCTTTATGCAATGTCATTGATCAAGAATTTAACATGATATTGAGGTGGAAAGTTCTATACTCAAAATTAGCTAGACCACACTTATAAAATTGATTCTTGATTCACGTTCACATGTTGGGTTGAGTCATTTGCCTTTCAAGATAATGTCTCATCTACTGGCTTAAGTTTATAGATGCAATGACATCGACTAAAAATTTAAGAAATACTTATAGATAATCCATTGTAGCCTCTTATTAATGAGTATTGTGCCCCTTTGGACTTGGAGCTAATTGGTAGGAAAAGCAATTATTTTATCGTCAAAACTTAGAATTGAATCTCATATTGAGAATTAATTAAATTATGTCTCTGTGCCTTGTATTGTAACCTCAGGGCTTCTTCTATTCTTGCTAGTGCAGTTTTCAGTATCGTAGCTTTGATGTTTAATAACATTGTGCTACCTGGTTACAGGTACAACTTTCACTTATTTCCTAGGGATGAAATAAATTTGGTTGCACCTTCCTATTCCTTCTCATGTCAAACTTCATTCCTGACGTCTATGGCTCAAGAAGGTTTTGATTTTAATGCCTGCATATATGATGGTAAGTTAGTGTGAATGATAGATTTAGCATAAGAAATGTCCTTAAATATGATTAGATTCAGCACACAATTCCTTTGGCAGGGATTTCATACTTATCCCGAGTACAAGAATCTATTGTCAAGGAAAGAAATCCCATCCCTCAAATACAACCAGTATCATCGTTTTCAAGCCTCTCAGTTGCTGATTCAATTTTTATGTCCAGAATTAAGTCAAGAGTTGTGCACTGGTGGAATGTTTGTAAAGAATCGAGTAACACAATTGATGGTTGGTTCAGCAGTGAAGCATGAGGTTTTTTGTTTTTTCTGCTAACTTGAGTGGCTTCTTACTGTGTTTATTGTCTTGGAATATCACATAGAGGATTTGATCAAGTCCCTGCGAAAGCTCATCTCAGGTACTGAACTATATGGTTCGAGGCCTTCCATGAGCATCAGTGTCTGCAGTGATCGTCAAGTTCAGTTGGCTCTGCAGGTGCGATCTTTTTTACTGAATTTAGGATTAGTTTAGGCGTATTTCCACTCAATTGTCTAATATTGCTGCCAAGAACAACTGGTTTAATTTCTTTGGATCTTTTAATGTAATAGCAGTTCGGGAAGTGCTTCCAGATCCAGACTATCTAGCTTAAAAGAAAAATTAGAACTAAGACCTGAAATTAGCTAATAGCAACTCATATGGAGTTGATAAAACATAGTGCTATGGTGATCAATGTGGATTAATGCTTGATCATCCTTTGCCTCTGTCTTCAAAGAGACAGGGAATTCATTTAAGTTGAGAGATCCATGTTTTTGGAGAACGGTGGTACTTCTAAACTTCCATTTATGTTTTCTTTTTTTGGTTGCAGACTGTCAGTCATATTCATGATAACATTGTACCTCTGGTTGTTCCAGACAAATCTGGAGGACCTAAGGCTGTACGTATAGTGCTGACTAGCTCAGAGGAGGATAAAAATCTTCTCATGGTTGTTTCTCAAATACATGATATATCATTTTTATTGCATCTGTTATGTCTGGATTTGTAGTTCACCACATTCTTACTTTCTGTTTTAGACCGAGATTCAAAATCTTGAAAATGAGCAGAACCTGAGAGTTCGGGGATTCCGGGAAGTGATTGATGTGATTTCCTCTTCCAATAAACCAGTCATTGGTTATAACTGTCTACATGGTGATTTTCAAATTACCCTACCCACCTTTTTCTTTTATCTAATCTGCTAATATTAATTGCATTGTTTGCAGATTTCACATTTATTCACTCAAAGTTCATTGCCCCTTTGCCCCCAACTCTCTTTGAATTTATGTGCTCCTTGAGGTTGGTATTCACTAACATAATTGATATCAACCATCTGTCTAAGGAAATTGGCCCTTTGAGAAAAGCAAAGAATCTACCTGCCACTCTTAGTTACTTGAAGAGGCAATTCTTTATGCCTATTGATATCGAACTCCCTCCAAAAGGTATTTGTCTTATTGGCAGGTGTCTTTTTCTCCTGTCACATAAAATAATTCTGTATATCTTTGTTATCCTACATAAGCAACAGAAATTTATGGATGACTTGTGTTTCTTAGTCAGATTGATTCCTTCACCAATTTCATGTTATAAGCTTGAATCACCATCTGTCACATTATTGTTGACATCAAACTACTTTTAGCACAATTGTATTTCTTTTCTATAATGCACAGTTTTTGTGAATGTAAAAACAATCAATTGGGCTGCCATAAGAGTTAGGATAGAAAAATCTACTTTTTTGTGGGAAGAATCTCCTCCCCCTGCACAAGCACAAGGTAGACTTTTTTTTCCATAATAATCTGCACAGATCCTTTATAGAATTTTGAAATCTCAATAGATTTGTGTTTTTGGGGGAAAAACACCTGTCTTGCTTGACATAAGCTCACTTCTCCTGCATAGTTCACTTTAGTCATATTACATTTTGTGATGATCTTATTTGTTTGATTTCTGAGCTCAGAATATGATTTTTTTTTCCTTTTTAACTCCAGCCGCTGAAGAAAAGAGCAACAAGGCCATTCATGGAAATAATGTTCTGCAAATAACTTATTTATTTGCAGCACTCAGTGCATTACTAAAACTGAATCCTGATGGTCAACTTCCTCAAGGACAGAACATCATGCCCATTGAAGATTATTCAAATATCTTTTATCCCATATGCACTAGCCTACAGGAACCTGATGATGAGCTTAATTATCTGATGGAACATGCCAAGAAATCGAGCACTGGTAACTTAGTGTTTTTGTGGGGATTTAGTCATTTGATTTCTTCTAAGGAGCTAAAACGTGAGCTACAACAAATTCATGAGGTGTTCACAGAAGATTTCGAGTTACAGTTGATGGATGAGACTTGTGCAGCTGTTGTCTTTTCCAGATCAGGTTTGGCTGAGGCTTTACTGATGGAAATGGGATCAGGAAAGTTTTGTTCTGATGCTTTGTCAACGAAGACATCAGGGCTGAGAGCAGCAGGGTATGACGCTTATCGAAAGGTTTGCATGTCCGGTCTTTGGGAGGCATACTTGGCTGATTCCTTGGAGAATATACTGTCCGGGTCAACCAATAGTCTGTCAGCATCTTCCGAGAAAGATTCATCTGAGGTTTACTGGAGAAGTGAGTCAACAATTGATCTAAGTGATCTCTAGGAAAATTATCTTATCGTCGGACTTGAGTTTGGTTTTGAGATATCCAAGCAAAGAACAAATCACCAATACAGAAAGGAATTATGAGATAGTAAAACCAACTTTGCAGAGAAACTTCATGGTTTCCCTTATCGGTGTTGAAGCCCATACCATTGTGGAATGCCTAGCTTCTGTACGTTGATTTACTTACAAAATTTTGACCAAGTGATGCTTTATAACACCAAAATGAAATTTTAGGTAATTTAGGCATTTGTAAATGTGCATTTCATTGTAGCATCATCTTCAAAGTTTTGTAGAAAATTCAGATTAATAGTTGATCATCCGATTACCAAAAGTCATACTGTTTCCTAGTAAGAATCATGTACTTGTTCAGCATAAAATGATGATTATTCATTTTGGGTTTGTTACTTAAAGAAGTATATGCCTCCTTTGTTACTTTTTTATCCAGATTCAACTGGAGAGTTTTGGTTTTGTCTTAATGATGGAATACATTCAAGCATAAAACTGCAGTTCTATCTCCAGTGCCTCTTGGTGAAGCATGGCAAGTTGTTAAGGTAATCCACTTCATGTTCTTAGATTTTTATAAACCCAGCGAGAAAGATACGAGTTATTACCCTGCACATTATAATGGGATGAATTCGCTTCTTTCCGCAATGTTTGTACTTAGATTAAATGGTCCCTTTGTATTAATTGAATGTTACTGATTCTCCATTGTAAGGATGCTCTTGCTTTTGTAAATTAATAATTGTGAAGGTCTTTCAACTTAGGATTATACATTGTCTTGTCAAGAGCAGGATAGTAGTGATGCAATTCTCAGTTGTGAGAATACCATTGCATCAAGCTCCAGTCAATGTGGGATATCAACACACAAACAATTTTATCTACAAACAAAGAGATCATTCTCACGATTGGAGTCCTGGTCATAATACATGATAATCTTGGCATAGGTGCCAATAAAATCATGTTTAGTCAGTGAATGCATGAAAGATGGATATGATCTTTGTGCCTCAAAGTTTGAACGAGTATTTTGTTAGTTTATATCTTGGATTAGATGGTGCTAAAATTTTCCAAGTTAATGCAGCGAAGGGATTGTATTGTAGGCTGTGCAGTCTTTACACCTGAAATCTATAACATGATATACTTCTGTTCTAGTGATCAATTCTTTTCTTTGCCTACTTGAATCTTATCAACCGAATCTTCCATTTATTAACTTTTTAACATAACCCTCCCCTGATTGCAAATCCTCGAAGAGAATCAAGAGTTAGAATTCGACTAGGCAGGCCAAATTATGAAAAGAAAAAATAGCATTGATTACATTAACTCATACTAATAGTATATACATGGATTACATTAACTCATACTAAGTTGGGACTAAAAACAAATTTGCAGAGAGAGAATGAACATCTGTACACACTAATAAAACTGGTGCTGTTCTTCCCATGAAAACAATAGCTCGAGAATCTTTTTTACTCTTGGCGTTTGTTGGCTGCTTGTTCCCTGCAACAAAACATTACATTATGGCGATGTTGTTGTCGGATGGATATCCACTGGACTTAGATCCTGGCAATTGCCGTTGGGACCTTCTCCTATCACGTATTGTAGAGTTTCATTGCTAGAAACTGTGCTAAGACAGGCCAATGATTTTGAACTGGTGGCCTCTTGCTCGTAGCAGCCAGCATTGGTCGCATTTAATGATCTCGTTCGAATGGAGGAAATGTTAGATGCCTCGGCATTGAGGAAGAGGCATACTACAGCACAGTCATCAATTCTGGAAGTTGGGTATTTAAGCCTCCAGGCCTTGACTGCTGACTGGACGAGACAACTAGCAGCAGAGGACCGAGCTGGAGCAGAGGCCACAATGTCTACCACTTCTTTGTTGGATAGCACATCCCAGACCTGTTAGATTTAGCTAGCAGAGTTAACAGTACCGTAAACAGAATCAAACATCTAACGCTAAAGAGAAAATTGTTGGCTAACATTGTGATCAAGTTTGAGGTAACTAGCGAGATATAGGCAGCATAAAGACCAAAATAGAATTTTTTTCTCATCTCACCCCGTCCGAAGCCAAGATGATGAACTCGTCTCTATCTGTGAGTCGCCTACACGAAATCTCAGGTACAGAAATCAAACCAAAATCCTTTAGACAAAAATCTCCAAAAGCTCGTGTCATAGCCAAGCCCGGAGAGTCACCATTAGGCAGCCAAACACGTAACACATCAGGCTCAGTCCTAAGAGCAAAAACTCTGCCACTACACTGCCTTATTCTTTCTGCTTCACCTGTTGTGATTCAAGTTCATCATTAAATGTCTAAGGAATAAATGAATAATCTATAGTCCACAAGAAAATAGATAAAGCACTCTTCAGGAAGCTTGCGTGCTTAAAAAGTAATTTTAAAACCTCAACGTATGTCATTAAAATGAAGTTTTAATTACTCCAATATTAAGTTAAAGCAATAAACAAAAGCTGTGTGATGGTTTTTAAAGAAGATGAGATTGAAAATATTGAAAAACAGATTTAGAAAGAACCATGGGGAAGAAAACACAACCAAGTAAGAGATCTTAGACCCAACATTCCACATTGTGGGAACTGGGAAGTACTGTCATACTTTGACATTTTGTATGATTTGCACAAACTACTGATTTCTAGAGAGTCCTCAAGCCATTTTGCTAGCTTTTCTGGTACCCCAAGGAAATGTCTGAAAAGACAGATTATATTCTTCGGATTACCAAATAAACTGTGAAATGAAAACTGACTTGAGCAACCACAAACAATGTATCAGTTGAGATATCTTAGTGTTCAGCTAAAAAGAGATCCTATTTGTCAGGAAAAGATCTGGTTTAGCAGAATTAAAAGATGACATTGGTTCTGTTTCGGTTTTGCTTTGCTTCATTTGACCTCAGTGATCTCAGCTTATAATGAGGCCAGGAGCTTCATTGAAGTCCTTATACTAACTTCAAATGTCAAATATGAAGTGAACATAATAACATGAGAAATGTCGTAGATCAAAAGTTTATCATGAACCCATGCATCCTTTTACTTCTCAATATATGCAAACAAAAAGAGTTGCAAAAGGATATGTGAATACATAATGCCTTACACTATAATTTTTTTAAGTCTATAAATTCAAAGGATAAACTCGCAATTGTAGACCTCTTTGAGATGTTGCACGAATCTTTTTGAGTTGTGAAAATTAGAATCGACAGAATCATGGAAGTATATGATGACGTTTCAGCTTGGAGCTAGTAAATCTGTACCCTCTAAGAGAATTAGAAAATACAGAGAAACTTCCTCATCTGTCTGTCTTAGTTATCTTAAGCTTAAATTTCACATCCGATCTGTACCCACAGAACTGCTTTTGATCAAATCTCTAGTTGACATAGTCAAGGATAAGCATGGTGAATTTTCATAAGAATCCCCTTGAAGATATCACTTTCTCATTAATAGATCTTCCATGCTCTTCATATAGCCTGATCCCTATCATGAATCTATGTTTATCTTCCATGCTCCCCGATGGTTCCAACTCTAACTAATAACCGTTAATCACCGAGGCTCTTCATACAGTCTCATGCATTACAATTACTTGCCACAAATTATTCACCCACTCGTACAGTTTGGAAACAATTAAGAGGAAAGAGTTGGATGTTATTTGGAAGATTCTTGCATCGATGATGAATGGGTTGACAGAGGGACTAATATGTTGAAAACCAGAATGCTTTTAAAATGTATTACATAAAATTCTCTCTTACCAGATCATTATCTAATATAGTAGTAAGCTAGGAGACTAGGATAAGTTCTTCAGACATTTATAAAATGTGATGATGATTTCTTTCCAATCAATCTACCTTAATAATAGCAGGACAAAAATTCTTACAAGGAGATAAGAAAGTCTAGAATCCACAGTTCTAACAGAAATCCTCAATGAAGACCCAGAAGTCCTGAAACAAGAAGAAAAACTGCTGTGTGGTAGGCCATCTGTAGGACTATTTAGCAGTACCACCACATAGGACAGTCAGACATAGAAGTAATAGATGTTTGAAATCTTATCCACATAGTTAAGATGCTAACTGCCTAAATAAAAAGCACCTGCTTATTTGCAAAGAGAGAGTGAATCTCATACACGATTGCAATCGACATATTTAACACGACACTAAAAAATGGACGCCTATGTTTATATCTAATCAAAAGCTTGAAGAAGAAGGAATGAAAGTAATTACTTGGAAGATTTGGTTTTAGGTCCACAGTCAACTGCACCGCGGTCAATGAATTGTTTTTATCTCTAGTACCAAGAACAGCTCTCGAGTCTCCAACATGTCCGATAACAAGTTCTTGACCCTGCAGAAGTAGAACATTCAGACAATAGCAGGCCATTAGTCTCAGACTTGTCCGCATGGTTCCATGTAAAATCCAGCATTAGTCTTAAACCTTTAAGTGTTTGCTTCAAACTTCAAAGAATATATGAACACTATAAGATGTTAATGAGTAATGTTTAACCTGCTTGATCAAAGTTACTGCTGTCGACCCACTGGAAAAGCAATCAAAACCAGGTTTCTGTTTCAGCTCTTTATCCATGTTTCTAAAAGCCTTCAGCAATGAATCTTTTAGCATCTTGAGGTTCTGAGAGTGCTCGTCTTTTTCTTCAAACTTGGTGGAATCTCTAATCTCCTCTTTGGGAGATGCAGTTGAATGTTCTGAAGCAGAGTTTCCTGGACTACTTGCGCTGAATTCTCTAGATTCCCCACATTTCCAATCGTCGGTTAGCTTTAGAGGGAGAACATCTCTGACTCTCTTTGCAACCATATGGCCAAGTGGACCATGGCCATCAAAAACTCCACAAAAAACAGTATCATTTCTAGAACCAAAATTCTGAACATGGAAGATCAAAAATTTCTCAGAATTGTTAGACATGCCAATGGATAGTAGACCCTAGAAAGAAGACAATGCAGAAAGACCAGATATGGGAAGTGATAAGGTAATTTTCATGTTTAATATGCACTAATAAGTTCCCAGAAATATGGTGTGGTAGACATAAATATGAATTGACCATTGCTCAAATATTTTGGTAGGTTCTTGATATTCCAAAAAGTACATTAGATATTAAAGACTTGATTATGTGAACACTTGTGCCAATAATTGGAGCATGAATATTAAGCAAGCATAATAGGAGGTTACATTAAGAAAAATGGAGATCTTAGATAGGAGCTCTTCTATTCAAATGCAAAGCTTTCGTCGAAGTCGTTTCTAAAAAACTCAAGATTAGAAGAATTTTAGACTACTGACTTTGAGAATGATAAATTTAGACCATTAATAAGACTAATCAGAAGGTTCATAGCAGTATGACATGTAGAATCAATGCAAATATGAAAGAGAAAGTAAAATGAGTAATTATAACAATCAGGGTGTCAGTTGTATGCTTAAAATAATCGATGCAATACATCATGAAAGCATCGACGCAAAGCAAAATATGTTGTCTATTAACATCAAACAGAAGAGCATCCTCATGAAAGTAGAAACTCCAAGTTTGCTAATTAGAAAAATCAACAAGATAATCTATTACCAATCTAAGAGTATCAGCAAAAGACTCAAATGTTCCAGAAGAACGTTAAGAATGAAAGTAATGTGAAACTAAGAACCAAATAAAAGATCCACAGATCAATTGATAAGAAGTATGAAGTAAGATTTGCTGCAATGCAGCATAATAGTATGTAAGCAGAAGTAAAAGGTTATTCCTAACATCGAAGATAAATCTGCAGCTAACAACTTAAAGCCAAAAAAACCATTTGAGCAGAAGTAAAAGGTGGTGTCATGTTGAGCGAAAGGACCAACAAGATGCCAACCTACTATCAATCTTGAAATACTTTGTTCTGCAGGCTAAAGTAAGATGGTGTCATGTGAGCAGAAGTAAAAGGTCATCCCTAACATCGACACAAATACTCCATCCCGACAAAGCATTCGAATGAAACGAGCAACAAGACGCCAATCTACCATCAACCATGAAATATCTTGTTCTACAGGCTAAATTAAGATGGTGAGAGAAGCATCAAATATCACCTCCCAAACGATCATGGCGTCCTGATTGATGCCCTTCTTCCCCTGCTGGGTGAAGAGCGAAGCGCAGTCGGTGGCCCCGTTCAAGAACAACCTCCCGGAGATCCTATGGAGCTGCTCCTCACTCCCGGAGGATCTCCGCAGCCTCCTCGACCCGGGCCATTTCGGCGACGTTGGCGATGAGACGGACGACGGGGTACTGCACCCGCCAGTCGACAGGCACGAACCCATGCGCAGGGTCTTCACGAAAGCTCAGCACGCACTCCAGGCCGCCTGCACAGCGGAACCCGATCGATGTCTTCTTCGTTATCTCCTCCGCAATTCCACGAACGGATGGTAAGCACGCAGCCGAGTCCAGTCCAACTTATGTAGAAACGCGACGGATGAAGGCCGCCAGAATTCAAATGGTCGTCGACGCAAAAGATCAGATTCATTTCCCTTCCTCGCTCATAGAAATCATCGACGACATGCACGAGCAGATCCAGATGTCCCGCGAACAGCTCAGCAAAAGCAAGGGGGGGAGGACAGGGAAGGTTTTCATGTCCGGATTAGGGTGCCGCGAACAAAAGGAGAAACTAAATCTTCCGGGGAGTCCAACCCGGGTGGCAAGAGATCGCAACAACATCAACAAGAACACGAGAAACAAACGGATCAAGCTTGGCGACTTGGTATCGTCGTCTTAATAAGGTTCGCCGTTCGATCGAGTACACGACGTTCCACCATATATAGGTATCGTTCGTTCGATGCGCATGCTGAGGCTTCCCGTGGGATTCTACCTACGGACATCGATCGCATCGTGGGTTTGGATGAGATTCGAGTGAATCTTATACTCGAATCGTAATCTAGTATGGATCTTATTTATAGATTCCGGTGAATCCATGTTACTAAAAGTCAGTGTATGGCTTGTGGTTTCGTGGCTGCGCTAGAAAACCGAAGCAAAGCATTTGTGAAGTGCATTCAAACCCTGTCCAAATCAGGTCCTAAGTATCGATATAGTAAATTATTATAGTAATTTAGTCCCAGAGGAGTACAGGAATAAAGATTCCCGTTAGGTCTTTTTTATTTTAAAGATGCACTGATAAGATTATTTAGTTTCATGTTATTTAAAATCATATAAATATTAGATGATTTTAAAATAAAATATAATTTTTATATTATATTAAAAATATTTTTTTGGATAATGAATAAAAAATAAAGAATATCTCAATCCAATATGTGGACGATCCATTTCTTAGGTTTTTTCGATCCAATCTTACAATACTTCGATTCAAACATTTTGAAGAATAGAAATGAAAAAAAAAAAAAAAAAAGATCTCTGTTTTATGTTAGGAAGAGAAGAC